TGTATGTTGTCTTTCTCTTTTCAGCAGACATGGAAGCAGATTATCTGTTTTGTTTTTTTCTTGGTTTTTTTGTTTTTTTTTGTTTTTCTTTTGTTTTTTTTTTTCTGTTTTCTTTCCATTCCTCTCTCTCCCTCTCTCTCTCTTCCCTCCTTCTCCTTTGTCCCCCCCCTCCCTCTCCTTCTTTTGAGGAAGTAAATAAAAATATAAAATAAAATAAAAAATAAATAAATAAATAATAATTAAAAAAATAAAAAAAAAACAATAGATACAGTCCCCCGCAGAGGGGGGGTGGAGGAGGGAATATTAAAAAAAAAAAAAAAAAAAAAAAAAAAAAAAAAACTTATTGGTTAAATATTTTATACTTATTTAAAATAACACATTAACAAAAAGATAAAGTATTTAAATTCATCCCTAATTCTTATAAGCATTTCATACTCATTTACAATATCATATTAACAAAAATCGCTAATGTTTTTCTTACTTCTTTAAAGCATATACATCTATGTGTGCCTGGCATGTGCGATAAGGGGCGCGGGGGGCGCGGCGCGGGGCGGGGCGGGGGGGTTGGGGTATGGGTGACCTACTTACTGTGCTAGTGGAGGAACGCCATGTAAGCCCCGCCCTATATGACATCATGACCCGCTAAGAACCGCCTATACTACCAATTAATATTATTTACACAGTAAGTCTAAATGTGTTCAATCTGTGGGGCATGAGATGATTTCTGGAATATTCTTAAATATTCAGCAAAATTTTTCTTGAGGAACTTGGTGATATTTATCATGAGGGATTTAATTGTGTCACTTGGTCTCAGTCCTGGTCAGTGGTGGTACATGAAAGAACAGGTGCAGACGTGGTATAGACATAGACTGGGAGTGTTATACTGTCAGTTACCTTAGATCCCCATTAACGTGGTCTTGTCATACCAGCATGTGAGCCCAGTAAATTGTTTAGTGTTGGTGTCTATGCATTCTGTTCCTTGTTTGTACAGCCACGGAAAAAATTAAGAGACCACTCTATATTTTAAAACAAATCTACATTTTTAAATCCCGGTTGGACCAGGATTCTGCTGGCAGAAGGATACGCTGAGCAGCAGGATGCTTCCAGGTTCACAATTTCTAAGACAGCAGTACACAAGACAAAGGTGAAGCAGGAGACACTGGGAATGACCAGAAACCAGCCAGGTAAAGGGCAGAAGTGACTTTCTGTTGCCAGGGAATTTCTCATGAATCTGAGGATGACATCAAGCGACCTTCAAAAGGAATGGGAAACATTAAGTGCAGGTGTGAGGTGCACTGCTAGGACAGATCATATCAGGCTCCTAGAAGCAGGACTGAAGTCCCATAAAGCAAGGAAGAAGCCCTTCATCAATGAGAAATAGGGAAGAACTAGCCTACATTTTGCAAAAATGAAATGTCCTATTCACAGACGCACACCCATAAATTGAGAAATGTGCTGGGAACAAAAAATTGTGCTATGGTCTCTAAATTTTTACTGCGGCT